TTGAAAAAACATGTAGCATCAAGTATCAAGCAAAACAACCCTAGGCTCTGATGCCACTGAAGGGTTTTGAGCATACTAACACTCCTATGGTGTACATGCAACCCTAGAAACCTTGGATCTATGTTTTATCTATGATACATGCAAAATTGTTTTTCCAAGGTACATAACCTATCTAGCATACATGGGGGATTTTTAAACATAAAAGTTAGTAAGAGATATGTACCTTTAGTTGCTTGGATTCCTTGAAAACCCTGTGAGCCTAGCACCTCAAGTGTGATGCCACAAATGTCTCACACAACACCAAATGCACTTGGAATAACTTAGAGAGAAATGGAACACTTCTAAAATCGGCTAGCCCTCACTTGTTCTCTTTTAGTGACCGATTTTTGGTGAACAAAGTGATGCTTATATAGTGTGTTACAATTAGGGTTACACCATGTAAACCCTAATTGTCATGACTTTTCATTTCCATGACACATGGGTTCTATAAACACCATGGAGCATCCTATGGGTGTTAGCCCAACTTGATAATCCATGAAGCATTAGCCCACTATATAAGTATGGATGATTTACACAATCAACCCAGATATTTAATTAGTCTTCTTTTGATCACTTAATTAATACCAAATTAATTTTTGATCAATACTAATTAAATAATACTATTAACATATTAGAACTTATAATATATTAATAAACCTTAAGTGTTATTTCTCTCATTTTAGTCTATCCAAATGCATGATGCCATGCAACCCAAATGGACCATGTTAATCGGGTCAAGTACATTCCGGAAATAGTTATGAACTTAGACACCTAATCCAACACAATGAAGATAAACTTTTTAAGTAATGGTGAAAGAGGTGTTCTTGGAGCCAGTTACAATCTGTATGAAAATCTAGCTACAAATAAAAGAACAAGAATATTGAAAAAATGGGGAACATGTTATTAGATACAACAAAATTAGTTCTTTTAGACTGATAGACTCCATATTTTACCTGAAACAAAATGGAAGTTGTTTACATCATAAATAAATAATGGTGATATATAAAAATTGAACAAATTAATAAACAAAACTAACCATTTGGAAGTATAAGGACTCATCTTTGAATAAATTTAAGGGGTAGCACGAGGCTACCCCCTTTATACAAACATAATCACTTATCAAAAATACAATATATGGCTGTACCAATCAATTTTCATTTATAAAGAAAAGATTGTTCAATACCAACACTAAAAAACAACACTAAAATCTTACAAAGATAAGATTCTGCATGGTGATTTATTCTATGCAGTAAAGATAAGCTCACTTATCAAGAAAAAGATATAATAAATTATAATGTGTTGTACAATAAATATAATCATTTATGATTACAAAAACAGAAAAAAATAATCGATACAATCCCTAATGATTACATATAAGCAACATATAATCAATACTAAAAACATAAATTACATATGAAAATATAACATAATCACTTATGATTAACATTCAAGAACATAATTCACACAAACAAACTTATATAATAAAATCCACCAAAATACATATTAAGGGGTCGTTTGATAGTTGCTAACTGGGTTAGAGCTGACTGAGTTAGAAGCTGACTGAGTTAGAAGTTTTGACTGAGTTAACTTCTGATTGAAACTTGTTGTTTGATTTTGCATCTGACTGGCTATGCAAAATGACTATATTACCCTCAAATAACATTTTTTTATGATAATTCATTTATGATTTACCATTTAATTTGTAACATTACATTTTTTATAAACAAAAATAAAAATGAATGTAATCTCATAACAAAAAAAAATTAAATTACACAATTGAGTTCTTGCATATACATGTTTAAGTTGACAGATATAGTTTTACCAATTAAATTACACACTCTAGAGCCCTACCCTTACAGCAAGATCACACACTATTATCAAGAAAACAAAATGGATTTTCAGAACTCAATATAAGAACAGGTTTTTCTCTGCTTGAATCTTGACGAATATTGTCTTAATACGTTATTTTGCCAACACCTAACCTTTTTCTGCAAAAAAATAAATAAATAACATATTCTTGTTGAACACAAGTGCTGTTAAAAAAAAGGCATCACTTTCACTACGAATGATATCAATATCATAGTTTGATTGATGTAAAATACACTCTTAACTTTCAACAAGAGTGCATACAGCCACACAAATCATTGACTTTATATAATTATAATAATAATTGGATGTTGACCAATCTATTTGCTTGCTGTATGATCAGAATTCGCAAGTATATCCTTATTTTAGCTAGTTCAATTGTACAATGTTGCAATCTATTTGTTTACCGTATGATCACAAAATATTGCAATCTATTTGCTTACTATAAAATCCTAACTCAACTAAAAAGATAATCACAACCTGGATAACATAAACATCACTTGTTCAAGTTCATCAAACATATTTCCTAAAGGAAAAAAAAGCAATCAATAGAATCATAAAGAAACTGCAATCGACACTAGCATATACGAGATAATAGTATAATTACATATGTACCCTTTGTAATGATTAACATGAATCAAGATCTACAGATATAGAGATGATCAAACAACGAATAAAGAAATCATAAACCCATGAAGCAACTTCATCAACAAAGAAAATCCATCAAAAACCAATTCAAATTAGCATAATCGAATAAAAAAGGTTGAATTTTTGTTTTCACCTGAACACAAAACATTGAAGGTGTGGTTCTGCCGACTGCCCAGTTCCAACTAATTGAAAAAATTGTTACCTGAGTAATATTCCAAATTGTTTGAGCATCGGTTGTAGTTTGAATAGATGATTGATATTTCCATACCGAATGGGGAGATCAGATCTTCCATTGAAATTGTTTTGCAGAGATAGAGAGGAGAGGAGACATGAAACTAGCGATGAAGGAGGGCGGCGACGATGGAGACGAGGATGAAGGAGGGTGGCGACGATGGAGATGAGGATGGAGGAGGAGACCGGCGTTTGAGGGGAAGCGATGGAGCTGTAGCTTTGTGTTTGTTCATAAATTTGGCGATGAGGAAGAAGAGTTGTGAAGGATGCGTATTTTGGGAGAAGGGCAAAGAATCAGTCAGCTCTTTTTTTAGTGTGGACCGAATCAGCTTTTTTTTATGGACCGAGTAAGAGATGTGGACTGGGTCAGATGTAAATCAAACAGCCTGATCGGACCGAGTCAGACAAAAACGTCTGACCGGACCCAGTCAGGACCAAATCAAACAGCCCCTAACTTGTTTTCCATCACCATGTTTTCCATCATCATAAAAACAAACATTCTTCACAATATCCATAACATACACAACATAAACAAACTTGTTCTTATAACATCATCAATAAGAAAATATTCAATCAAAAAAAATTTGACAACCTTCTTTCTATATTCCATTGAGCATCATATGCATGCTTACCACGGATCTTTTGATCAACTTTTTGATACTCATATGCAGCTTTCAACATATCATCACGCTTTGTATTAATCTCAGAAGTTAAAATTGCTACTGCATATTTCATTCTCAACTTTTCCAGAATTTTTTCTTGAGAACCACCTTCTTTTGGAAGACCACATTTCCATTTACAACATTTTTATCCAAAATAACTCTCCATATGTCTCATAGCAAAAACTCCACAATCCACTTTGTTATAAACTGTCCTCCATGGCATGTCAATCTTACTGGAGTAAGATTTTTATAGCCATTTCATTTGCTTAACATTTCATTTGCTTAAACATGATCGATCTCTTTTAGATACTTCAAAAAAGGACTTTTTCTGAAAATCATATATGATTTCAAGTCAGAAAAATATAAGTATAATAATTATAAAACATATCATAATGATTTCAAATTAAAGAATAAATATCATTTGAACTTACAAGAGGTTTAAAAATGCACCATACTTATCATCGAAATCAGCATCATCTGCACCATTATCGATAACCTCAAAAGCACGTTTCTTCAGATTCATAACAAAAAAATACATGTGCTTATGCCTCAAAACCAGGAAAAATACCTAACATCAACATTTATAATTTAGAAATAATATATATATATATAATATATATATATATAGATATATATATATATATATAGATATAATATATACCAATCAACATCCTTCAAAACCTTCAAGTCTCTATCACCAGAAACACTGCGAGAGAAGTTGTCCTTGAAAACTTTTATCTTTGCAGTTTCATTCAAATGAGTATATTCAAATGACAAAGTCTGTAATATAAGAAAATCATAAATGATTATATAATAACATGTAAACATTTAATAAAAAATTTATTAATGATTATCAAAATATGAAAAGCAAAGAATAAAATAAAAACTTACAGTGTCAGAATTCATGAACAATCTCAGTGGAGAATTAACAACATCTCTGAATTTCTCTTGATGATTTAGTATACGAGACCATGAATCAAGAACACTAACATGCAAATGAGTTTTTTATAAAGACTTTCATAATTAGCTCTAAAACCAATAACATATGTTTCCATAAGCAATACAATATCCCTGTATATATTTATTTAAATGTTATTTAAAATAAAAAATTATAATTATAAAAATAAAAAATTATATTAAAAAAAATTACCCTGGATTTCCTTGGAGATTGAAAAGCCATTCACAAACAACATTTTCTAATTGTGTCAAACTAGGTTTAAAATCAATTAACCTTTCCTTAAATGGTGACTTATAAACATAAGAAAACTTCATTTGTCTCTTTCCTTTGACATCCACTACTGATGTTGCTTCTTCATTTAAATCTTTAGGTTTGCCAGAAACAGGTTTTAATGGTCCTTCTAATGTACCCAAAGGGGGTGTAAAAGAAACTGGACTAACATTAATAACATCAATATTTGGAATAACACACTCTGGACCAACACTTGGTTTTCCCAAAATAACTCTATCCTTAATCCTTTTCTTTGTCATCCGTTCAGAAGAAATTTGACTTTGAGATGACTTCTTGGAACCTTCAGAATCTTGACTAATCCAAGACTAAAACTTGGAAAATATCATTTTCAATGATCGAGTCTCATTTGAATCCTTGTTTTTATTTTGAACATCTTCAAGATTTTCTACCCAATAATTAAAAAATCATATATGAATAAACAATAATTTATAAACACAATTATATATGAATAAACAATAATTATAAACAAATTACCTCCATCTTTATTTTTATTTGAACAATCTTCAACATCTTCACCTTCTCCATCCTTCTTTGCTACAATAACTTTATCAACAGTATGATCTGAAATGACTTTATTCTTATGATCATCCTCACCCAAATTTACAGTCCCAAAATTATTAAAATCATAAATGAATCATCTATATAACACACACACACACACACACACATATATATATATATATATATATATATATATATATATATATATATTATGTATTAAAAATACATAAATAAATACTTACCATCATCAATACCAGTCAAATTCAAATTCACATCATCTTCAACTAGTTTCTGATTTAAACAACCATCAGTACCTATAAAATTCAAATATGAAAAATTAAAATCATATATGATTAAACTGTATATAATAATAAAATATGCCTACCTTGATCCAAAGTTTTAAGAAAACTTTCAACAACTGGATCGCAAATAAATTGACTAAAAGATACACCTTCCTGGCTATCAATTAGACCCACACTCTTAGTAACATTTTCGACAACAGAATTTAAATTCATGGCCTCTTCTTTATTACATCCACTTCCATTTCCTTGTTCATCATCTTCATCATCATCACCTTTACCTTCAACATGATTTTTACCAATATTGCCCTCATGTGGACCACTTCCATCCCCTTGACCACCAGAACATTTCCCTTGATCATAATCTTCAACATTTTCATCATCACTAAGAAAATCATTCCCATAATCTTCATCATTAACTTGAACAAAACCAGGTGTTAATATCGGTTCTTTATATTTTTGTGAAACATAATGGAAATCAAAACTTTATGTGCTTAAATCTTCAACAGGAAATAATAATTTCCAATTTTTCAAATTTTGACTTTGAGGAAACTTCAACACTCCCTCATCTATCTTTACAACAAGATCCTTTTTCAAATCCTCCATCTTCTGATACATACATGAAATTTTACTTTCATACACCTACATAAGAAAAAAGATACTTACAACTAAAATACTTAAACATAAAAAGTCATAAATGAATAAACTAATTAAATCATAAATGAATAAAACTATAGAATTACCTCCACATCACTAACTTTATTAACATCAAAATCTTCTTCATCCTCATCACATAAATCCTCTTCACCATCAGATTCAACCTCATCACCACCAGATTCCTCCTCATTATACTCAGATTCTTGAAATTCTTCTTCAACATATGCTTCATTAACATGTCCACATCCAAATCCTCCACTCTATTGTAAAATATCCTCAAGAAACCTTATCTTCTCTGACGTCCAATAAAAAATAGTTGGACGTTTACGTGTGACTTGCAAATGATCAAACTTGAAAGTATCCACATACAACAACTACAAAAAATATATAACATCATAACATATATAACATCATATATGATTTGATGTGTAATATATAATTAAACAAAAATTATACTACATAATCATATATGATTATATGTAATAAAATCATATATGATTTATTATAAAAACAAACATATTTTTACAACTAAAAAGAATAATAAATACAAAAAAATAACTCACGTACCATAAGGTATGCTGCTGGTCCATAAAAGAAAGAAGATTCTTTCTCTGGATTGTAAACCTTCTTCGTCCTTACCAAACAATCCACAATGTAATCGCACCAGTCAATGCTACTTAAATCAATATCTCTTCTGATTAAATACAATGGATTCAGATTACATTTACCCATGCGTGTAGACTCACAGAAAGTATTAATAAAAAGAACCAAAAAATTGATTCTGAAGTTGTAATCCGCAGCACTAGTTTGAACAAGTTCATTTTTAGCTGTTTCAATCTCAATTTATCAATATTTTCATACTGTTTTTCTTCCCACTCAAACCAACTCTCTTCATTATTCTCCGAAATGTAATCCATGTTTGAAAGTAATGAGCCACCAGATGGTAATCCTAACATCTCTTGAACAGACTTACTATCAACACTAACTTCACAATTATCAAACTCCACCTCCAAAGATTCAAAATTAAAATGATCAAGAACATAATAAACAATCTTCAACGGTACATCAATCATCTTCATCCCTAAGAAACTCCCAAATCCCATAGCCCTATCACAATCCTTCTGTTCTCTACTTATTCCTTGAATAACACCCAACAATGACCCGGGTGAACATCTATTCTTCAATGAAGGAAATTCTTTTATAACCGCAGCTTTTTTATCTTTCTTCAAAACTTTAGTTTCTCTCTTTGGTTTCTTTGAAGATCCAGGACGACTCTAAAAATCTGAATCATCTTCATCAGATAGTTCACGTTTCTTAGTTACAGTTTTGACCTTAACCCTCAGCTTCACTTTTGGTTGTTCAATAACTGTTTTTTTGGATGTCTTTGAACATGTTTGCGACACCTCATTCGCCTTTTCTCTTTTGGAAGATGATTGTGTGTTCCTTGAGCTATCTACATTCACTTTTTTAACTACAATTTTCATTACAAACATAGTGTTAGTAAAAAATAAAACATACATTTATCATTACTATTCACTAATGATTATAAACAGACGTATAAAATCATTTATGATTAGAACAATAAATAAAAATACAACTAAATGTTATATACAATCCACTTAAAAGAACCACAAAATCAGTTATGATTACAAAAATAACTTTATATTCATGTTTGATACATAAAAATACATTTATCATTACTATTTACCAATGATTATAAACAAACGTATAAAATCATCTATGATTAGAAGTAGAAATAAACATATAACTAAATGTTATGTTCAATACACTGAAAATATAAAAAAATCAGTTATGATTACAACAAATAACTTCAAACATTAAGTTATATGTTTATTTCTACTTCTAATCATAGATGATTTTTTTTGAACTGTACCTTCGGAAATAACAGCACTTCTACCGCATTCGATATTTTTTTGATTTTTGAATTTTTTTTCGAACATAGTTTCTTTTGAAATCCTTATCTGTGAAAATATAAACAAAAACTTACATCAAAAACCACCACAAACAAACATAATAAAAAACATATCAACTCTAAACGAGACAATCATCAAAATCAAGTTAAAATGACGAAAAACCTATTGAATCAAAACAAAAAAACACCATTATCAACATAAAACGACAGTTAACTAATTAATAAAAACATGCATTATCAATAAAATGAAAAATAACTCGCATTCTAACCTTTCATTTCGATTAACGAAGATGCGACTTCGTTTATATTTTCTTCTGAAGACATTTACTGATTTCTTAATAACAGGTAAGAAACGAAATCTAGGGCAAAATGTGATAAAGAAAGAAAAAGAGGATTTCCTGAGAGTTCGAAGTGAGACTTTGATCGAGAAAGAAAAGAAAACAATAAGCGGTTACAGTATCGTAGCCTGCAAAATTCATATCAATCTTTGTAAAATTACAACAATAGCCTCACAATCGTAAATTAACGGCGTTAGTTTAATAAGTTACCAATATAATTACAAATATGCCACCGCATAGTTTCAGAAACAAACATAAGCACATCAAACGGTTATACACATATCTCACAATCTCTAATTTTTTTTATCTCAAGGGAACCAACATCTATATATATAATATATATATATATATATATATAATATATAATATATGTGTGTGGTGTGTGTGTGTGTGTGTATATATAATATATATATTATATATAATATATATATAAGAGAGAGAGAGAGAGAAAGAGAGAGAAAGAGAGAGATAAGATCGGGTGGAGACTTTTTAAAGTGAGGACTCGTGAGGACACCTTAAAAAATTGAAAAAAAATCTAAAAAAAAATACAAATCATAAAATCGAGCATAGTAATACATCGGGGAGAAAAAAAAATTGGAAAAAAAATTTGGATCATTAAAATTGAAGAATGGATCATTTTTATGATCCATGATTTTAACTTTTTATGATCCATGATTCAATTTTAATTATGCAATTTTTTTTTCAATTTTTTTCTCCCGGATATAGTACTATGCTCTATTTTATGATTTGTATTTTTTTAAGATTTTTTTTTCAATTTTTTTAAGGTGTCCTCACGAGTCCTCACCGAAAAGAGAGTCCTCACCGGAACTGGACCCTATATAGGGGAGCGTTCAATCGAGAACATTTCTTATTGCGAGAACATTTGAGAATAAATTTGGACAACATAATTTTTTAATTAAAACTATAAAATAATATTCATAAAAATCAATCAATTGTTACAAACAATTAAAAAACTCACTAACCAAAACAACTCACCACCCAACCAACACCAACCATCACAACTACCTACCACCCACCACCACCTCCACCAGCCATCACCACCACCACCACCCACCCACCACCATGCACCACCACTCATCACTACAGACCACCACTCATCACCGCCACCCACCTCCACCACCACCCCCACCCATCACCCACAAAACCACCACCCGCCACCACCATTACCACCTACCTCCACCACCCATCACCAACTTCCCCCAACTCAATCACCCATCCACCACAACCTACCACCTACCACCATCACCACCTATCACCACCCATCACCACCCACCACCCACCACCACCACCCATCACCACCATTCATCACCACCACCTCCACCCACCACCCATCAAAACCAGCACCCGCCACCATCATCACCATCCACCACCCATCAACACCACCCACCACCACTATCCATCACCACCGACCACCACCACCCATCAGCACTACCTGCCATCACCATCTGCCCCCACCACCACCACCCACCACCCACCAAAACCACCACCCATCACTACCACCCACCATTATGACCACCACCTGCCATTACCACCAACCACCACCTACTACTTATCACCACCACCCACCACCTATCACCACCACTCGCCTCTACCACCCATCACCACTACTCACCTCCTCCACCTTCCACTACCACCACCCATCACCACCGATCACCACCACCACCCGCCATTACCATCAACCACCACCAACCACCCATCACCACCACCCACAACCACCACCCATCACCACCGACCACCACCACCTATCACCACCACTCGCCACCATCATCTCCACCTACCACCCATCACCGCCACCCACCTTCACCGCCCATCACAACCACCCGTCACCACCACCCCACCCATCACCCACCAAAACCACCATACACCATCACCACCAACCGCCACTCACCCACCCACCACCACCACATATTACCTTCACCCGTCTCCACCACCCATCACCAACACTCGCCACCACCACCTGCCACCCACTATAATCACCACCCTACATCTCACCCCCAACATCCTTCACCACCACCACCACCTACCACCACCAAACATCACTACACACCACCACCACCCATCACCACCACCTGTGATTATGTGTATATAATCACATGTGATTATTTATATTTAATCTGTAACGCCCGTAGATCAGGGCTAGTCAATTTAGAGACGATAAGCGTCAAATATGACTTGTTGACAGAAGAGTGTTTTGAATATATAATATTAACCAAGTTGTAGTATATGTCACAAGGTTTCCATACATATAAAGAACGCTGAAATCCAAGTTATAACGAAGAAGTTATGACCTGTCGAAGTTTCGCGACAGATCCGGTACGACAGTGCGTGACGTAAATAGTGAATTTACGATAGAGCGATATTTAGCCTTAGTGGTCTAAACAAAAGTCGTAGAATACGTTAAACCGAGTGCGTGCATAAAAAGAACGTCTAAATCTGACTTCATATGAGGAAGTTTTGATTTTTCGAAGTTTCGACTTAGCGGTATGCAGCCCGAAGTTCGAATATGAGATCGAGTGATTTCTAGCCAAAACCATCTAAATGAGAATCGAAGATCTCGTCGATAGTAGTCCAACGGAAGAAAGACAGACGAAAACGGACGTCAGATGAAGAAGTTATGACTTTTTAATGGACTTTTCCTGTCCCGGCCTGTTAAAAATATAATAATAAAAACAAAGTCAAAACTAGCCGAAGGAGTCAAAATGAAAGTTGTAGAGCATAGTCTCACCTACGCGTAGATATAAAGAACGTCAAAAACGGAGCTCGTATGCGAAAGATACGAATTTTAGAAGTTTGGAAATGCGGAGTACGCCCAGCGTACAGGAGTACGCCCAGCGTAATCATGGTTCATGGTCTGGGTTGGGCCACGTCTCCCTAATCCACCACTCGGGTGCCTCGGGTCCGTAAGCAGTGACGCATTCGAAAATGGTTATCGTGAAAGAGGATCTAAATTCACCTTATTCGGTGTATAGATCAAAAATGGCAAGAACCAGAAATGGAGCTGGAAACGTGAACGAAAACAGGAATCAACCACCTGTGATTGAGCAAGTAGTTGTTGCAGCAGCAGCACCTGAGCCTATAACAATGGCTGGAGTACAATCGATGATTCAAACGATGTTGGATCGTCAGATGGAAGAAACTAGACGCCTGCTTCGACAGAATTGGGAAGAACTTTCAATACAAGTTGAAGAGCCCGAAGGGAACGGAGGCCAGTCGGAAGGAGGGAACTACAGTGGGATCGTTGGTCAAGCCGATCCACCATTATTTAGGAGAAACAACCAAGACGACGGGGTCAAAAGAAATAGATGCAAGTACAAAGATTTTCTAACTTGCAAGCCATCGACTTTCACGGGAAAAGAAAACCCAATTGGAGTTATGGATTGGATATCGTAGATGGAGTTGGCGTTCATAACATGTGGTTGCAAGGGCAAGCTACAAACCACATATGCAGTGCGTCAGTTCAGAGGTAGCGTTGTTCGCTGGTGGAACACTCTGGGGAAAACCAAAAGCCCCAACGAGCCACTGCAACTGACTTGGGCAGAATTTTTGGTGCAATTCAAACGAAACTTCTGCTCGGCCCAAGATCTGCTAGAACTAGAGAACCAATTCCTGACATTAAAGAAGGACAGCATGTCCATTGATGAATACACCAATGCCTTCACGGATAAGATGGAGTTTGCTCTGCGCATTGTCCCAGACGAGCTGGCAAAGATAGATAGATATGCAAAGGGAGTACCATGGGAGTACACAGTGCCAGTACGCCAGACACCTACCCTTGAGGCGGCCATCTGGGTTTCTAGTTGTTGTTGGATGA